TTTTTTTTTTTTAGAATGGACCAGAAGTTGGCTTGCCCGACCCCCGAAAGTCGCAGCGCGTTAACGGTCGCGACTTCGAAAAAACAACGGGGAGGTACTGGTGGTTTAATAGGAGCCTGTGACGAGCTACCTCATGCCCCACACGGCGTTCCGTGCTTTGGACGCCGATTAGAGCAGTCACGGGTGGGGGCGAGGATTTTTGGCCGTGGGGGTTGAGCCACCTGGACAAAACGGGGTACTCTTGCTTCAGGCCGAGGTGCCTAGGCAGGGGTTTGAGCTGTAGCCGGGGGCGAACAACGGGGCCCTACGGCCCGACCGTCATCACCTCATGAAAAAGGAAGAAAAGAAAACGGGAGGGGAGGGAGAAGAGAAATGAAGCCAACGGGGACGGAGCTCCGTTTCCCAAGGCGCGAGGTTTGCACGGCCCTTGGGGGCTGAGGTCCCGAAATCGGGTTCAGGCTTCGACGTCAAACTTGTCGAGTTCGTGCGGACAGGACCGCACGGGACTGCCCGGGGTCGAGCAGGTCGATGGAATCCAGGTTCGAAAATGGGTGGGGAGGGCACCCGCGTTGCCGGAGAATTCGGGGAAGCGGACGGCTTTCCTTCGTACCCCCGGACCAACCGTCGCCACGAGCACGAGTCCCCCTGACGACACTAGTGGCAATTAAAATGCAGCTGCCACGCGGCATGCACAGCGGACCAGGGCAGCACCGTGAGGTCTGTGAAAGGCAAGATTAAAGGCGGGGAAGAAAATCGCTCAATCAGCATGAGCCCACTCCCTCCTATGTGGCCCGCCTGGGTCCGTTTATAAAGATGAATCGGCTCAGTGCGCCGCAGTATGCTTCGCACATCCGCATCGCAGTATACACCATCTTCATTTGCCATCGGGAAGGGCAAAAGCGTGCTGCGATGCTCTAGGACAAAGTCTGAGCTCGGGCCACGGCCCGCACTCCTGTCTGTCGAGACCAAACTTGACTTTATGCAAAGACCAACGAATACCATTAAAAAGGATGTGCCTAGCTCTCTTTCTCCGTCTCTCTCTGCAACATTAACCTGAACGTGGTGACCCCGGGGTGGGCACAGAGAGATCGGCCATGTTACGGAAACATAGACGACCGCTCTATCCGAGATTATCCGCCTCCCCTTGGAATTCCCACTTGCACACGATGAGAGAGAGATAGAGAGAGACGGTGGAAGGAGGTTGGCACGTATCCCTCACACCCGCGTGGGTTTAATGGCGAATGAGAGGAGGAAGGACCGACGCACTTGTGCACTCATGTAGGCAATCGATATTTGGTACTCCTTATTATTAGGCTTGGGGGCGCATACACACACGCCTACTCATAGAGCCCTCAATGAAACATTCAACATCCATAGACTTTCATACCCGAACACTGCGAACAGGCATAACGGATTACCCACACATTGGGACCATGCACACATCACATGGGGACAAAGCAGCAACGGAGAAAAAACTCGTCTCAAAATATAGAATTCTCATGACTGGCCACTCCGGGCCTAATCCCCAATCTGTCAAAACCACCAACAACCATAGCCACAAGGCCCTGCCGCTGCCGGCGTCTAATCTCCACCACCGCTCAGTCTCTCCGACTGCCTTACCCCAAGTCTACCGCTAACTCCTCCACCCGCCGTCACTCCGCCCACCACGGGGCACGTCAAGCCTTTCCGACGTCACGGGCTTCGCACATAGCTTGCGCAGCTTGCAGCCGAGATCAAAGAGAGTGAGAGGACGGGATTGCGAGAATTTATATCGTGGAAAGCGGTGGGGAGGCTGTGCAAAGCACGGGGCGTAGATGAGCAGGACAAAAGAAGGGCAGAGGTTCTAGAAGGATCAAAGGAGGCGAGTCGGATGATCTGCATGATTGGGGTGGTCGTTCGAGTGGGGTGCGCTTCCTGCCACCACCACATACCCCCGACCATCCCAATCAGACAGCCAATCGTTCGCAGGGAAAGGAGAAGGGGGGGGGGGGGATCGGACTTTGCTTAGAGGGAAGAGGAAGAGACATGCAGGAAGGGGATGGGCAGCGAGAAAGGAAGATGGTGCGGGGATGAAGAGCGGGAGAATGG